CGAAAGGTAAGGTGTAGTAGAGGGGGGATAGTAGTAGGAATAAGAACTGCAGAAGGCCCATTGGCCCATACGAGTATGTTGAATATGTTTGTTAAGATATATTTTTCAAGCCTTTTATTTAATCTTCTCGTGTGATAACATCACTAAATCTGATCTTAAATCGTATTTTATTTCCTCAAATAATCATTGACGGTCTTGCTTCATGCTAGTCGGCGTTCAATCCCCCAATCGTCCAAGTGGCTGGGCACCATTCCTTCCCTCTTGTTCCATCCCAAATCTATATCCTGACCCAATCCCAGTGCTATATAGTCGTAATGGCTTGGCGCTTTTCCCCTGATAATTTTCCCCTTCCCTTCCTAATGAAATGGTTTCTAATTTTCGGGGATAGGAAACTTGTTAGGCTTATCGAAGTCCCATAGGTTCACAGCTGACTCTCTGCAGGATGCCACCCACAACAGTTGCTTAACTCATAAGTACCTATTTACTTCTTGGTGAAAGGTAAAGTGCCCAAACGTTTCCGGAATTTTTCTTCCGGAATCAAATCTAAGGACATATGGTTGAGACGATTACTGCACTTCAGAACAACTCGTTTGTAATGAAATAACTACAATTCGCTAATTACTTGGCGATCGGCGCCAGAGTTATCTAAATAAATCTTAAACTCTGAGGAGTTTAAGATTTATCTGTGGGTTAAGATTTTTTTCTGCCGAACTATCGGCAGAAAATGCCAAGCCATTGCGACTATATAGCACTTGGAAGGGGTCAGGATAAGGATTTGGGATTGGAGGGGGGAATGGAATGGTACCCAACTACCTGGACGATCGGGGATTGAACGCCGACCTGCATGAAGGGAGACCGTCGCTCTACCATCCCGCCCAAGTGGTTCGGCTCTTAAAACTTTGAATCGCAGCATTAAAAATCATGTAAATGAAAATTTGTTTGCATCAATGTGCGATTACATGACAGTTCGTTAGTGTAGCAGATTAGTTAAGCAACCTGATAAATATTTTGATTGGTTCAATACTCTTGGACTCTCTAAGGATTTACTCATTTACCGAGTCTCTCGTTGCTAAAGCTGCAGTTACTCAGCTCTCGCTAGTGTTATACTGAGTCTTTCGCAACTATATATGCTGTTAACGAGCCTCGTGGAGCCGGTGTCGCTATTGGAGCTGTGTTACCAAGTCTCTCGTTACTTTAGACGTGTTACCAAGTATCTCGTTACTGAAGCTGAGCTCCTGAGTAGCTACTGAAGCTGTTGTCATAACCTGAACTCCACCACCTGGCCCCCACTACCTGGCCCCACTACCTGGTCCCCCCACTACCTGGTCCCCCCACTACCTGGCCCCCCCACTACCTGGCCCCCCCACTACCTGGCCCCCCCACTACCTGGCCCCCCCACTACCTGGCCCCCCACTACCTGGCCCCCCCCCACTACCTAGCCCCCCCACTACCTGGCCCCCCCACTACCTGGCCCCCCCACCACCTGGCCCCCCACCACCTGGCCCCCCACCACCTGGCCCCCACCACCTGGCCCCCACCACCGGGCCCCCCACTACCTGGCCCCCCACTACCTGGGCCCCCCACTACCTGGGCCCCCCACTACCTGGGCCCCCACCACCTGGCCCCCACCACCTGGCCCCCACTACCTGGCCCCCCACTACCTGGCCCCCCCACTACCTGGCACCCCCACTACCTGGCACCCCCACTACCTGGGCCCCACCACCTGGCCCCCCCACTACCTGGGCCCCACCACCTGGCCCCCACCACCTGGCCCCCCACTACCTGGCCCCCCCACCACCTGGCCCCCACTACCTGGTCCCCACTACCTGGCCCCCCAGTACCTGGCCCCCGCCACCACCTGGCCCCCCCCACTACCTGGCCCCCCCCACTACCTGGGCCCCACCACCTGGCCCCCCCACTACCTGGGCCCCACCACCTGGCCCCCACCACCTGGACCCCCACTACCTGGCCCCCCCACCACCTGGTCCCCACTACCTGGCCCCCCACTACCTGGCCCCCCACTACCTGGCCCCACCACCTGCGCCCCCACTACCTGGCCCCCCCACTACCTGGGCCCAACTACCTGGCCCCCCACTACCTGGCCCCACCACCTGCGCCCCCACTACCTGGCCCCCCACTACCTGGCCCCCCACTACCTGGCCCCCCACTACCTGGCCCCCCCACTACCTGGCCCCCCCCACTACCTGGGCCCCACTACCTGGCCCCCCACTACCTGGCCCCCCACTACCTGACCCCACCACCTGCGCCCCCACTACCTGGTTTCTAGACTCCTCAAGTAGTCAAGTCTAATTATTCAGCCCCTAAAACTCGCCAAATTATCCACTAATCATCTACGTCAATTAACTTGCCGCTGGAAATAAGCTGTCAGGTCGCTGCCACATCTCGTAAATGAACAGCAGTCGTCAATAAGACCACGTCGAATGCTAATGGAAGTCGCCCCATTAAGAGAATAGTCCTCAGAGAGCCTCTCTCTCTCTCTCTCTCTCTCTCTCTCTCTCTCTCTCTCTCTCTCTCTCTCTCTCTCTCTCTCTCTCTCTCTCTCTCACTCTCACTCTCTCTCTCTCTCTCTCTCAGGTCGGCGTTCAATCCCCGACCGTCCAAGTGGTTGGGCACCATTCCTTCCCCCTTCAAGTTCAAGTATGTTTATTGAGACAAGAAAGAAATACATCTCAAAGGGATTGAGCAGCTTAGACTATTTCTATCCCCCCCCCTCCTTCCCCTTGTCCCATCCCAATTCCTTATCCTGGCCCCATCCCAGTGCTATATCAGTAGTGACTTGGCGCTTTCCCTGGTAATTCCCTTCCCTTCCCTTCCCTTCCCTTCTCTCTCTCTCTCTCATTCTCTCTCTTTCTGCTTACATTTAGTCTTTTTCAATATAAACTAATAAAGGAAACTACGGAAGACCTACTGGCCAATACCTTTGACAGTTCTAATGAAGAGGACATTTAGCAAGCGTGTGGCTCAGGGCATGGACGAAACTCAGCGAGGAAGGCCCAACTCCTTGTCTTAATTTACACCAACGACCTGTATTATGGAGTAACTAATGAAGTCATCAATTTAAGAATGATTCAAAAACAGGGTGTGAAGTATGTACCCAAGATGACAGTCGAACTAGCGGAAAGACTAATTCCTCGGCTTATAATAAAATGGATAATGCAGTTTAATGTCAAAAGGCGCAAATTCTTTAACAAAGACAGCTATGTTATATACCGCATAAACAATAGCCATGGGTATTTAATACTGAGACTTAAGATATTGCATCAATGTATCAAGCAGTATATGTGTGTTAGCTCACATAGATCAGCCATCAGCTATGCATAGAGCTGGCGAAGCTTCAGTTGCACAAAACTTTGCATTTCAGGTCACCGAACTTCAAAATGCATATGCTGTGTGTGTGTGTGTGTAGAAAATGCATTGAAAAACATTGAGGATCATACCTTGTATCAAGGATCTTCCCAATGAAAACTAATTTTAATGTCACTTTTGCACTCACTGGATAGCCGGCATACAAAAGCGGATATCATCGCGGTTTACAAGTGTGTCCCCATAAGCAATGGGGATACGAACAGGGGTTCTGAGTCTGTCGGAAAAGGTGAAACCAACAGCAATGGGAACAAGATGGAGAAATTACCTTTTAACAAGGACATATGATTCTAGACAGGCAAGATAACTCAACAGGCATGATACTGCCACGGGTGGGTGAGGAAAGAGAGGAAGACAAATTTAATAACATAAAAGTAGAGAAGGTTGAATGAAGAATGAATGAAGAATGAAGGAAGAATGAAGGATATCAAGTGAGCAAAGAACTAAACAGCCCAAATGAAGGAACTGTGGGGGCGAAAAATGAAAGTATGAAATAAATAAGGGAGAGAGAGAAACAGGAGAGAGAGAGAGAGGGATGCGATACAAGAGAATGTAAAGAAACAAGTGAAGATGAGAAAGAGTAGCATTAACTGATCATAATATCCACCTAACTAGCGACACGTCTAAACACCAATTGAGTAAAGGTATATCTGACACTAAATGCTTCAACGCGCCCCGCGGTTACAAGCCACAGATAATGTTTGGCTTTCAACCCTCCCAGAGACATCTGGTGAGAGATAATGCCCCTCTCCCCTGAGAGATATTTGTTCTTCTCAACATTAGCGTGTCTGGAGCCGTTTACCTCCTAAGGTGCCTCGTGAGTTAAGAAGCGTCACCTCCTCATTCGTTAATGAAGGAACGAGCAAACAGTGTCTTCCAGCTGTGTGTGTTGCATGATAATGTATTCCAACACTGTGTTGGGTGTGGAAAATCGTGCCAAAGATAGTGCTATCTAGAGCCATTACACTTAAGTCTTTATGTGCTACTTAATAACAACACTTAAACCTAATCTACCATCTTTATGCGTGGAAACATAGGAATTAGAAATTTCATCTTATCGAAAATATCTTAGAAGAACGCATCAGAAGCTAATGACGCGCTTCAAGCAAACTATGCAAGATAAGCAAACGATGCAAGATAAGCAGATAACGCAATGCAAACGACGCGCCATAAACAAACAATTCACTACAAGCCATTAACAATGGTCAAAGAACAGCGGCACCATAATGATTGTACGAGGGTAAAAAAAAATCCAAAGATTGCTTTGAATGTTGTTGAATCAATTTAATATAAATTTCCTTAACCCCTGCTGATTAATTGCCAATATTTAGTCACTTTGAATGAAAAAATAGACTTAGATCCTTCAAGTTAGCTGAATGGTTACATTCCGAGCTACGGGCCAAAGGCTGAAACAATATTTTTGGATGCCACAACGAGTTCCCGTTTGGGCTTCCTTGTTTGTTTGCGTATCTCTCTTCCTTCTCCGGTGATGTTTAGAATTATTTATTCTGTAATAAATGTTTAAAAAGCGCACGGCCTGACGAGTGGGCCCCCTTGGGTCGCGCAAATAACAACTACAGCACTAACTGCCCCACTGCTAACTGCATCTCCTAACGATGCTGATGCTGTTTGGCGCTGATGATTCTCATGTTGTGTATGCTGCTGCTGCTGCTGCTGATACTGCTGCTCCTGTTCCTGCTGATGCTGCGACTGATTCTGCTGTTTATGTTGCTGAGGCTGCTTTTTTTAAGGTTGGGGAGGGGGGGGGGGGGATATTCCTACAGGGGCCTTATAAACTTCATATAGGCCCACTAAGTGGTACTGCTTTCAGCCTTATTTCGGCCCGGGAATGAGTATTTATGACTCGTATGTTAGCTTCAGTAAGACGATGTCTAATGTTTTTTTATCAACAACTGCGCTGCTCATCTCTGCTGTAAACTAACTTGGTTGTTAACTCTGCACGGAGTTAGATAATGTTCCAGTGGTCTGTCGAGGGTGAAGCTGATGATGGTAAAAAAGTATTTCTAAAATGTTTGCCGACTCCCTCTAATCAGGAAATAAATCTTGGATAAAAAGTAGGTAAATTGGGAGAGAGAAATAGGGGTTAATGTGAGAGGCAGAGAGATACAGAGATATATGTAAAGATTATACAAGGTGAGAAAACGCGATTACGAGAGTTAACTACTCGTCAAATTACAAATTTGTTGAGTATTCTCTCTCTCATTCACCTATAAACACACACACACACACACACACACACACACACACACACACACACACACACACACACACCGATATTTAAGGTACTCAAATTAAAGTGTAAACATGATGTAATTAAACGAAAAGAAACAGCGACATCACATACAATCCCAATCACAACATAAGGCTCTACAACGCAGATATAAACATAATGAAGCCCACGAACATCAAATAATTACAAATATTGTGCCCATATTAAACAAGAGGGAGACAGCAGATGACCCTAAAACACCTCCCACTTTCTCCTGCATGCGTTTTCAGTTACGTATATTATATATATTATATATATATATATATATATATATATATATATATATATATATATATATATATATATATATATATATATATATATATATATATATATATATTGGTGCCTTTGTCACACAGGCACTCAAAAGAAAAGCGCTTGGTAAATTAAAATTTTCACGGTCTCTCACGAAGCCTTTGACACAGTCCCGGCATTAAATTATTCTATGTTATATAAAGTAACGTGATCAAACCGCAGACAGGGATGCTACTATGCCAGGCAAAGGAGTACCTGACAGACTGGAAACAGCGAGTCATTATCAGAGAAGCTGAGTTCATGTAAGAAATTTTTAAATGTAAATAATGCCGAGCTTAACAAAGGCTTTCAGAATTTCTTTTTAGTTGCAGCGAATTAAATATGGAAAGCACACACTTTTTTGTATTTTATTTTTAATGCAGTTTTGAGTCGGGGCTCGTGAGCTTTAAGTCTGGGCACATATCTGTATCACTGCTTGTAACTGTATCAGGGTATATAGCTGTATCAAGGATTATAACTAAGGGCACAAACGTTACAGCAATGGCACGCAATTCACCTACGTTCACTGACGCACTGAAATTGTATAGGTGCAAAATTATCTCCATATTATTTGACTTTGCAAATGTTAGAACTTGTACTTATAATTTCAATTTCATCTTACGGAATATTTAATATGAAATAAAAAATATATATATTATTAAACTTTATCTTTGTAAATTCATACACATCACGCCTGCAAATATAAATCTAAAATTTTTATAGTGGCAGATAACATCATGTCAGGGGATGTGTGCAGTGGCAGGCAACATGGGATCCCAGGCACTCGTGTGCCAAACATATCAAGAGGCAGCAATAAAGGACAAGAGGCATGCATGGGGTGAGAGTGGGTGACACCCAGCCAACGGAGGACATCGCGTACGTAGTCAACAGTAAACAAGATCAGATTCAACGGTAAAAACAGGAAGAAAAGTGGGTGCAGAACAATGGGGGAGAATTCTCCCACCAAACACACACAGGTTTTGAGTTGGTCATCATCTTACTGCTTAACATTTGCTCTCTCTCTCTCTCTCTCTCTCTCTCTCTCTCTCTCTCTCGCTCTCTCTCTCTCTCTCTCTCTCTCTCTCTCTCTCTCTCTCTCTCTCTCTCTCTCTCTCTCTCTGTTTCTCTCTGGCACACTCATACTCACATATCACTGTAAACTGATACAAACACACACACATATGCACAACTAAAACACAGGAAAATTAACCCAAGATACGATTTATTATATAACGAGCAAACTCAGAGTATACAAATGTATAAAAGTCTATATCAAAAGTCTAAGGCATTGATATCACGCCGAACGTGTCCCCCCCATCAAGCCCACATCAATAGAATATCAACAGCGGCGTGTGCAAGGCGTTCTCTATCTTACGCTTTTTCTTACTGTCTCTATCCCGCAGTTATCAGATATTCATCCTTCTGTTAAATCCACCTTGCCATCATATGGCCATTACCATTCCATAATTTTTATATTTTTACTCATGTTTATCATTTCTCACACACTTCAGTTTCGTTTTCTCTTAGGCCACATTCCATTTTGTTAATGTCCTCTTCGTTAACCGTGTTTGTCCGGTTACCGATCTCTGATCTCTTAGCACTGACCTCACTCTCCGGCCTGCAATCTCGCTAACTTGCGACTGATATCGCTAATCTCAAACAGCAGATAAATACATTGTTTGACACAATTTTCCCAGACTCCTATTTGTCAAGCACTTGCATCAAGCTAAGTCAGTTTAGTTTAAAAACATTCCTTGTAGATGGCATCTGATTTAGCCGGCTATCATGTCAGATGTTAATCTATCCAGTGCACACACAAATCACAATAGTGTGATGCATCAAATGGACAACTCCACAAGGGCCGTGATGATGACTCGAAACTACGTCTGGGATAATCCTTTTTCGACTCTGCCTTATTCGACTGTGCCACGACAAACCCAAGTGGATTTGTTCAGTCAACCTATCCAACATCGCATTTAAACGTGATAATATATAACGTTCATCTTTTTGGAACATATATATAATTGTTGCTCTTTATCGCATTATAAAATTCTGGTTCATATTCCATATGTTAGAATTCCAGAAGCTGTCTCCCGTGGAAGTTACCCAACCACTTGGGCTGGACGGTAGAGCGACGGTCTCGCTTCATGCAGGTCGGCGTTCAATCCCCCCGACCATCCACAAGTGGTTGGGGCACCATTCCTTACCCCCCGTCCCATCCCAAATCCTTATCCTGACTCCTTCCCAGTGCTATATAGTCGTAATGGCTTGGCGCTTTCCCCCTGATAGTTCCCTTCCCTTCCGTTAAAGTTGCATAAACTGTCTTCAACAAAATGTTTTCTGTTATTGGAAATGCTATTTCTTCCATCCTTTCGTTTCATTTAAACTCTCTTTCGTAAAGTATTTCTTCAGTCTTCCCATTTACTTGATTCCACTGCAGCTTCTCTCTAAAGCTCATCTTCCTCCTTAACTCTAAGTATCTTCTGGTTTTCCTTGTCACTTTTCACCCATAAATATTTTTTTTTACTGTTTTCTCGTAACCTTTATTTATGTTTCAGCTTTTATCAACCTCATTTTATACTCCTACCATCTCTCTCTCTCTCTCTCTCTCTCTCTCTCTCTCTCTCTAATATCTATATTATATATATCTATATTATATATATATATATATATATATATATATATATATATATATATATATATATATATATATATATATATATATATATATATATATTTATTTACGGCGTTTCATTTTCTTTAATCAAGTTATGCAAAATTCGTTATGGCTTCTTTCTTAGAAATGCCCAAATGTGTTTGACTTTGCGTGTGTCTGACAGCACCTTGAGGTGGCCGAAGCAATGCTCCTCCCACCTATCTCTCTAAATACCCCCAGATGGCCGGCAGCCTCTTTTCTTAAACAGCCACATTAAATTACTGTTTAACCCACCTAGTGTCTCCACCCATGGCTTCTCTCCGTTAACTGCTGATGAAATTCTCTTGCCTTGAGGGCCAGTCGTGTAGCGTAAGACAAGAGATGGGTGTACAGCTCTTGCAACAAGGGGCTCCTGGCTGTCTCTTGAGTGCTCAACACGACTCATAATTGTAATGTTGGGTTTATGCTGGGTTAATGTGGGTCAGCTTAAGCGGTTGGAGTCATGCATGAGGTACAGGCGAGCATACACGCATACATACGCGCATACACTCACACACACACACACACACACAATAGTGAGATCATTAGATGGAAATATAGCCAGACGAAAAGGTTCGAGAAACCAGGCCACTAAGTATTGCTCGTCTCGGCTTCAGTTCTGCTATGTACTGACTACTTAAATTTACGCGTCTACTGTGTTGATATGCAGGAAAATGTTGCTTGTGTCATTATGTTCCGTGTGCGTTCCTCTCCGTTTCTCACTCATCCAAGGCCCAGATCAGATTATGAGCAAGTTACGTGCAGACAATTTTAAGTGTCTGAACAGAAAATTCAGTTTATTTGACGTCTTCACTATGACATCACGTCGAGCAGATCAAGATTATTGTATGGACGTGAGGACACTGTCCTTACTCATGTCTTCCTTCCACTCTCTGGCTCTCTGTCTCTCTCTCTTACTCCATTTCTTTCATACTCACTCCCGGCCTCCGTTAGATCTTCCTTGAAACATCGAAGTCGTGATAGTTACTTCTGGCTTGGACTACTTTTTCTTCGTTTTCATGTCGCAGCTGTGACTGCGAGTCTCGTTTCCCAGTTGGTCTTAATGACCTGCAGACCCCTACCAGGCCACTCCTCCCTCACCACTCCACTATTAACCACACCTTCCTCTTCCCCACACCACAAACTACATATTTCTCCCACCCTAACAGCCCCGCCACTAACCACTGATCTTTGACACTCTTATCAGCCCAACCACTAACCACACCAGCCTACTTAAACATAAAGCACTACCAAGCATACACAAACCCTCCATAATCCCAATTCAAGGCTCAATGATTAGTGCGTTTTTTTTGCATTAAATATTATATATATATATATATATATATATATATATATATATATATATATATATATATATATATATATACACACACACACACACACACACACACACACACACACACACACACACACACACACACACACACACACACACACACACACACACACGA